TGGCCTAACTTGTTTTAGCGAGTCGATTGAGTAAAGTTGTTGTTGTTTTCTAGAAAGGCCTACTGTAAGGCCTACTATTCACCATTTCATTTGTTGGACTTGTTGGGTTGATACACACAAGCAGACAGACATTTCTAGGCATTCAGTTCAGTAGATGGAGGGTTGTATCTGAAAACATCTGATTATAAGTAAGTTCTATCATAGCTGGTCTACAGAGCACCCGGGGAGTATCTTCGTACTTACAAATCGTTAGTAAGTGGTTGGTATATGGACGCTGGAGCCGATTGATCACCCTTTCTTGTGGATCTTGTGGATGTGAAGTCAGTGAGTGGCTGGTTGCGGCCCCGAAACTGAATAAGAGCAGGGCAGGGCAAGGCAGGGCAACGATGAAGCCAAAGCCATTCTTGAAATTAGTTCGCCGTGGCTGTCAATTATACTTGAATAATAATAAGAATAATAATCATAATCATAACGAATGAATAAGCCGCCCCGAGTAGAAGTTCCCTCTCGTGCAATGTGTATTGTGCAATGTGGAGGGAGACACAGCTAAAAATGGCAAGTTCTGGTGCCGGGCCGGTCTAGCCTCAGAGATCGTCAGGAGGCCGAATCATGGAGCGAGCCAACAAAGTTGGGAGTCAAAAGATGGGATGGTGCAACACGCTAGGGAGATGGATAGAGTTCATAAATGGTAGGAAAATGAAGAAGATCAGGAAAGGGGGGGCGAGAAGGGAGGGGGGGGGAGGCTGAAGTTTGAAAGATCTGAGACAGTGGTGTGGCAGATTTGGCCCAACTGCTAGATGGATTGGATACAGTAAGTAGATGAATGATGATGATGATAATGGAGGTTGGGTGATGAGAGTCAGACACAATACAATATGTACAGGAATAACACTTGGTGTATTGTATAATGTATATAAAATACTCTTTCTCTGTTCCTGTAATTTGTTTGCATTTATACGGATCCTCTCTTATGATGTAACATAAGGAGAGAGCTGACTTGTTTATGTTAGCACTGTTTTGATAGCTTAACTTGTCAATTGACAATTAACAATGTAAATCTAACATATAATCGAACTTACACGCGCGTATATTTGGTATGCCATGCAATTAGTCACAATTTTCGTAGGAGCTGGCCGATGGCCGCCTCATACACTGAGTATTGTATGAGAGTCAGTATCTATGTCCAGCTAAAAATCTAAGAGAGAAAAAAAAAAAAAAAAATAGAAATAAGAATCAAAACTGAAACGTGCCTGAGCTGCACGAGCAGCTTCTGCAGGTACTCCGTACTACTCGTATATTGTACCCCGAGCGGTGTGCGTCCTTCCTGTTCCTGACATGATGCGGGCCTCTCTTTGGGGTCACCCAAAAGGAGGGTTCCTCGTTCTTTTTCCTTCTTGGGGGGGGGTCTTTTCTTGGTTTACCCAGTACCTTCCAGTAGGTTTTCCGCCTCCATTGCTTCTTTCGGCCTATTAAGTAGTTCACTGCCGAAGTTACCTTGGGACAGAACAGTGAGACACTCGGGGCTTTAATTCGGGTCCGAGGCCGGAGGAGGGAGGGAGGGAGGGAATAGTGATAAGGAACGGAGACGAGAACGACAGTCATTGCACACAATCCAGTTTCAAGTACTATACTTTACTTCCATCCCGATTATTCGTACAATCCCATTTTGAATGAACCCCGGCTTCCTGGTCATTGCATGAATCTACGATGGGTCCGACCAGGATGATCGCGTGTCGATTCGATAATAATATAATAATAACATGATGAGTCTGATCCCACCACGTTAAGTGGATATCATTGATCCCCTCCCCCCCCCCCCCCGGCCCACCTTCTAGCCTAGGCAAAACTACGGTATTTGGTCTCTCCTTCCGTATGTGCAGCCCGCAGAATGTGATGGAAACTGTCAGCCCGATGGAGATTACCGACGTCCCGTCATGGTATTGATGGTGCCCCGTCAGGCTTCTATCCAGGTTCCTAGAACCATGGGTCAGAGAACTACTCCTCCCGCGTCTGTGAAATGAGTCTTTATTGACATTTCATCCCTTAGGAAGGACATCCGATAGAATCCGCTATGCTGCTGCTGCTGCTGCTGCTCCAATGCGATCCCACTCAACTCGATTCGACGTCCTAGACCCACCGCTAGGCATTGGCAAAGTTCAGCCAGGCCGAGAAGCTCCCGTCAGGCGTCCAGTCAAGCACCTAGAATCTAGGGCTAGCATGAATAACTCTGGTGAGTGGTGGAGAGGACGTTGGAACGGGGCCGACAGCCAGTATAAGCGAATGAAGATCCGGTGGTGCCTGAATTGACATCTCGTATTGTCGGAACTGGGGCTGAATGGGAGTCCTCGATCTCTCTACTGAATAGCTTGCTTGTGATCCAGTATTATGAGTAACTTATCTTGTCCCTCTCGCGTCGGATGGCGTCAATAGAGCAGAGGCGAGCATCTATAGTATACTCAATATCTACGCATAAGTAGATATATGACTAGTGGAGTTGGTGGATGGACTACTCATCCAGCCCAGCTCTGTACGATGTAAAATACCTTACATCCCCGGATGTATGTACAGTATTTACAAATCTCATACAGATGTGCTGGAAATGCACACACATGGTGGATACATGCATGCGAGTCCCTCATTGTGCCTTGGAGCCAACGTTCAATGGAAGGCCACATCGAACTAACGTCTCGTTCAACTTGATGTCTGCAAACACTGCATGGGGGCAGGATTCTGGGACATTCACTGTACTGGTCGTCTGTACAGTACGCACCTAGGTCCTCTTTGGGGGTTCGGACAGTTTCCATCTCAGCTCGTGTATCCCACTCTTGTTGCAGTGCAGGGCAAAACTCCCCGCCCCTTCCCCGAAAAAAAAAATAGAGATAAAAAGAATTACTGCAAAGTCAACCGCCGATACTTACCTAACGATGAGTTCTCCGCGCGGGATCATCGCCTGCAATCCAGGGCTGGAGGGATTGCCATCATTTAGTTTCCATTGCGGCTACACACAACACAACGTCTATCATGTTATTCTATCCGTGCCCGTAGCATAGAGGAGGAAGAGGGAGGGCCCGAAAACCTAATCTAGATGTCCGGACTAGTGTATATACTGACTATAATGAATCCGTAGAAAGAAGTGGGAGAGTCTTTGGCAGGCTCTGCAATTGACCCATAACTTATACGTACTATGTATATATCGCAATTGACCTACGAGTAGAAATAGACAACACCTAGTCTTAGGACCACACACTGAGGAAAATGCCGAATGCCGATCGAGCCAGCAGAAGGCGGGTTCCATAGGTCAGAGTAGGCAACAGTTGAGGGACTATCAAAAACCAGCGTACTGTACTTACATACGCACAAGATATAGTTTATGATTGAAGAGCAATGCTTCGTCGGTTCCCCGGATACTTAGACCGATTTGTTGGAAGCTATCACATCACTTATACCTTTTCCGAACTTATGAGTAGGATTCAACTCATCCCCAATGAACCTGGTTTTACATACTAATCGTGTACCATTGTAGCTAATATACGAAATAGTGTACTGCTGAAAGCGCCGCGTCGATGATAAAGTTCCATTTGCCCATAACTGGGATGGGAGATGTTGATATTGGTACTAAGAATAACATAGAACTTGGATGGATTCTAGTAACTAAGACTGGTACTGTAGTATTGTAGCCCATGATAACTTAGTGCTCAGTAGGTATCTACTCCAGATCAAATTTACTACTTGATACCTTACTCTATGCTTGTAGCACTCAACAATGGCGCAAATTATAAACACACGTAGTACGTTAGTTTCTGATGGTTAATTCTAAATACGGCGGACGAATCGACCCGATAGGGGAGGCTTGAACAGGCCGGCCGCCCCCCTGTTCATTAACGGCATCTTTTGAATACAGTGTATTGTACTATACTGTACTGTACTGATAGGCTAGTTCTTAAAAAGTAACGTAACAATACCTGACAACAACCTTAGACCCACGATACCTGCAATTTTCCCACTTCCCCAGCATTGAAGTATAAGTTAGTAGTTAATGTTAGTCGACTTGACTAGTCATGGTTGTGAAAGTCGATTAGTACTGTACATGTACCTATTCAGTAAGTTATTAGTTAGTGAGTGCGTAGTGGTAGTAATGAATTCATTTTTCCTCCTTTTAAAATCATTGTTTATCTTCGTCTTTCTCCTCCACCACCTCCACCACCACCACCACCACTTCTTTTCCTGCCCCTTCATCCTTTCTCTCCATATAACGTTAGCCTCACTTCTTCTTTCTCTCTTCCTCTCCCTCCTCCTCCTTCTTCCTCTCTCCTTCTATCAACGTTGAATCATTCTTTCATCCAATCCGACCCCAGTCGTCCTTCGTTTTCAATTGCAGTGTTCATCTCGTACTTTACGTATCGACACGAAAAGTGGTGTCTTGAAATCGGTTTTGCCCACTCGAACTTCTTCCCTACATAGATCAACATATCTATCTCCTACTCCCGGTTCTTCTGTCATTTGACCTACATTGGGCTGGTGCTTCAACGGTCCTGCTGCTTCCCAATTGTGCTCTCCTTTTCCGAAATTTTGGATGTGTTTCTCGCATCCGTTTCAACCCTCGATCTAAAACAACTCCAGAAACTTTCCGCCGCACGATACGGCCTAGCCATCTTCATCCGCCATCATCCCCCCCCCCCCCCCCTCTCTCTCTCCCCGTGTCGCTCATCCGCTCATTCTATAAACCCTGGCCTCCTCCCCCAATTGTTCTTCGTCCTCTGCGACTCCGCTTCAATCCATCACATTGTCCCCTTTGCACGTGAGACCTTGTGTACTCTTATCATGGTCCAAAGCCAAATCAATTCTTCGCAATTGGTGGCTTAACACTTGCTCAGCACCTCACCACATTCACATGCTTGGCTCGCGCCTTTTCCTCCCTCAATAACCATCTATATATCCTTCCTCCACAGTCAAGCTGATACCTCCTTCCCCCGACTCGTCCCTTTGTTCCGACCCGCACCATGTCTCAGCAGGATCTGGACCGTGCCTATGGCCGACCGCCCAGCAATGGCTCCCCTGAACAGTACCCGGTTCACATCCGTTCTAGATCTACCGCACATGCGCAAAGTCCAAAGCGGCTGTCTGTTCTAGGCGGCCGCTCTCGCAGCAATACCACAACTTCCACCTCTTCCCGTCGTTCACCGGGTTCCTCAATAACCTCGGTCGAGGCTCCCTCGTTGCCCTCCTATGAGGACCGGGGGGACCGGGCCGGTTCGTCGGCTGGCTTTCGCTATGACCGTTCAGAGAGCGTAACGAAATCGCTTTTATCACGTGGAAGTCGCATTCTGCGTCGTCGGGGAAGCAAGTTTCACATAGTCTCAACGCTGGACGAGGAAGATGAGGTGGACCGCGAAAAGCCCCGGTTTGAAGTTTCCGACCTCTTCAGCCGGCATCATAAGCCACGACAGAGTGACGCACGTAAGTCCTTTTCAGAGCCTACCTTTCATCCTCGTTCATGGCCGTTGTTTCACGCGGGGAAACCCTATTTAAAGTTCGCATGGCATGCTCATGCTGATGACCTGCGCAGATGATCAGCTGAAGAGCTTGATCTCAGACCCATTCGACTTTCACCATCTGACCCACACAAGCCCATCTCAGTTCCAGTCCCTCGAAAAGGCTTGCGAGACTGACTTGGTCACGGAATTTTCTGCCATACGTGCCTCACAAAGACCTGTCACCAATCTCAAGGGCATCCAAGCTCAAGATCTGCATTTTCATGATTTCTCATCGGAAGATCTCAATCAATTCGGGGCAGCTATTGCTGACAACGATGTCGCTACTGACACATTACCAGTAAGCCCGCCGGCGTCGCCGGGTGGCTCCTCCTCTATTAGTCCTAAGCAGCACGACATTCGGAGACAATCAGAGTCGCGCGCCTTCGAAAACTTCTCACGACCTGTTCCCAGGTTTTCCAAAGGGCCAGGGGAAGCGACTTCTCCGCCGAGGGCTCCTTCACCTAAGCTGGCGTCTTCTCCTGAGTTGCCTGAGCCAGCCCCTCGAGCTATTGATGAGATTTTGGGCTTGTCCAGCCAACCAACATACCCTGAGCATGTATATTCGCAGGATGGTGACGATCTCGATGATGATGTATATGGAAATGCTTCATGGTCCCAGCTACACGTACAGGATATGTTTCCAATTTCCGCCACCCATGCGGTTACCACGGATGCTGGCCACGAGGGGCTGGATGTTAGGACCTCGTCCATGTCTCTGACCAGCCTGTCCTATGATTTGGAAGGAGTCCCAGAGGAAGAGGAAGGTGATGATGAAGCAGTCGCAAGCTTAGAGCATAGGGTCGAGCCCGAGTTTCCCACTGCCGACGATCCCTCTCAGGCAACCACGGGGTTCAGCTCACTTCCATTGGCCAAGATCCAGTCGGCTTCCGCGGCTGCTCCTGAGCTGTCTGTATACGTGACTCAGGATTTAGCAAGGAAATTGTCTGAGGCACTTGGCTCTCCGACCCTCCCTCAAGCCCGACCCACGACAGAAGCACCAATGACTGAACGTACAATTTCGGAAAATGCCAGGAGGCGGTCCTCGGTCGCCATGCGAACTGTCCCTGAGACTATCTATGACTCGTGGGATGCTGATATCGACTATTGCTATGAGCATGCAGCCGAATCGAATTCGAACTTCGACTGGACTCGCAATTCCGTCGACGAGCCACGAGCGGATGTGATGACGGTTGAGGCCGACACTGCGGCAGATGGAGACAAAACCACGGTTTCGTTCAATCGTCTGAGCGCCAACGCCGTATCCGCTACGGACCGGGACTCCATTCCTTCATTCTCGGAAGTCAGCTCCCACGTGGCTGTTACTCCTTCCACAGCTGAGTATGACGCCGGGATGGCCGTTTCCCAGAGAGACAGTGATTACTTCCGTCCTGTCAGGTTTGGGCCTGCCCTGAACAAGTCAATGAATCCAGAGTCCTTGTATGAGGACTACTTGACAGCAGATGCGGAATCGGATCGTCACTTTTCGTTCTATTCGCAGCAAGGTGTAATTCAGCCTATCGAGCATTCCATCTCCCCTCGCAGCAGCTTCTCCCCTATCAGCAAGTGCAATTCCCAGGAGAGTTTGATCTTATCCCGCGCGGCGTCGGTTGTGCGCAAACATCGATCGTCCGTGTCGACCGCTAGCGTCCCGGACCTAGTGCACAGTCTGACAAACAGCCGCGAGCTGATTCCAACTGAACAGATCCTTTCGGGCGAATGTACTGCGGTTGGGAGACCAGACTCCTCCCACCATAGACAAACCAAGAGCCTTGCACGGGAACTTGAAGCACAGATGCTGTATCGTGCGGAACCGGAGGCAAGCTTCGAGCCTATGGGACCTGGCTTTGCCATCATTCCTTCCATCCACGACCGAGCCAAATCCACGAGCGAAGTCGAAGCGGCACCCTTAGCTGTCGCGGCTGCTTCTAGAATCGCGCCTCGTCGTAAAGGGAGGGCGTCTTATTCCCTCTTTCCTGCGGCTGCGAACTGAGCTATTGTTCGGTCAATACTCTGACAGACCGACACATCTAATCACCAGCTTCCCGGCCTTTCCATTTTGAAAGATTGTATGTGTGTTGGCTGTCTTTCGATTCGTTCTGCCGTAGAACGTCTTCCACGAATTTATGATTTCAACCCCCCTTTTAGCGGAGAATTGATTTCAGTTCCTTTACTCTCCTGGCTTCTGCGACGACATTCTGCCTTGTACATTTGCATACCAACACTGCACGCTATGCTCTTTTGTTTTCATTGTCCATCTGCGCCTCTCTTGCATTTCTCAGCGATTGGTTCTGTCGGAAAGAAAAAGAAATCGGGTGTTTGTCACTTTTCTTGGGTATAGGGATCTGGGTTAGGTTATGCGTGGGGTTTATGTCGACAACACCCGCTGGGTGCAGGCTGCGTTTCAATGTATAACTGTCCCTTCGGATCCATGGTCGTGACTAGATCAGCTTGCATGTATGCTCAATATTACTCTTGCCTGTTGCTTGTGTTCTCTCCAGCATCGATGGTCGCTTGGGTTCTAGTTGCAATTCAATTCATCAAGAAGAGAAGGATAACGGGTTTGGTTCGAGAAGGAATATCGATCATCACAGGCTATCGCTCAAGAACCACAAAAGAGTTAGTGTATTGCTAGACTTAAGGGTACTGTACGGAATATGTTCACACACCGATGAGCACAGTATAGCACTGACGTATTCCATCTACCGAGATGCAAGCTGGAAGGGAGATGCCATGACGACGATCCTCACCGCTTCCCGGCGGTATAACATTCTGCTGGGTTATCTCTAAGCATTGCCGCCTCTTTTCTTTCGCTCTCACAATCTATACATCCACCCACTTCTTATCTTTCGTGTCAGCATGCATCTCACATTCATTTCTCGCACTCCGCATATTGACCATAGATAAGAATCTCTGCATACTCATCAAACTCAAATAATGTCTGTGTCTTCGCAAGCCTTAATCAAGCGTCAAAGCAACAACAGCTTGATGCCTCCTCCGCCTCCACCGAAGCGCATCAAACGACCGGCCACCGTGCTTGATGAAGACGTCTACACCGACGCTCTCTCAGAAATCATTGCACGCGATTATTTCCCTGGCCTACTGGAGGCCCAGGTGAAGCAGGACTATCTAAATGCATTAGACTCGCAGAATCAAGAGTGGATTGCTAGTTCAAAGAAGAAATTATCCGATTTAGTGCAAACTCCTGGAAGAGTCCGAACTCGCACTGGCTCTGCCATGACACCACGGCTCACTGGAACTGGGAAACCAGGGGATACTCCGATGACCTGGGGCGGTGATACCCCTTTGTCGACGACTTCTGCTTTCTCATCAGGAAACCATACACCAGTGGCCGAAACCCAGCGCCAAGCTCCAGATGTGAGTCGGCTGGGGTTGCTGGAATTTCAAGCCAAGTACACTAGTGAGGACAATGAATCCTTCAACAAGTTGTTAGACAAGCGAAATTCCAAGCATCGGGAGAAATATGCCTGGCTTTGGAACGGGAACAAGATCCCGACCGCGCGACAGATCGCTCATCATCGACAGGAGGCCAAGCGGATCGCGGCCCAGGGAGGTAACCCAGACCAGAACAACCAGGCATTGATCAAGACCGACCTGGACGCTCGACCCTCTCAGCCCGACACTTGGAAGACGCATCCGGAGAATTCACTCATGTTTGCGCCTTCATCCGTCGAAGACATTCATGAGACGACTCAGCAGAAAGCGGAAGCTGCATCTCGAGCAGCGCCGAAATGCGTGGTATACCAGAACACTCGCCTTCCCAATGAGACTCTCCAGCACACTTCCGGGACTATCCCTCCACCTTCGCCATCGATATCGGCTATCAAGGATGCTATCGCCGGACGTCCTCGCCCGACTGATTCCGAGCCAGGGTACAATGGCGGGGAAACACCCCGAGTGAATGGATATGCGTTTGTGGATGAAGATGAGTCCGAGTATGACCGTACCTCACCCAGGGGCGATGGCTCCATAACGGACGACTTCTACTTGCTCGGAAGCGGTGATGCGGCCCCGAATCCGTTCCAGATAACAGAAAATCGCAAACGTGAAGATCTTCACCATCGTATGGTTGACCGCGTGGCACGGACGAGACGTGCGGAAAAAGCCACCCGCGAGACTAAAACTCCTGTGGCAATGACCCCTAGATTCGCCAGCAGTCCGCAACTCGACTTTGGGCAGCAGGCACTAGGTGCAGCTACTCCTGGGATCAGAGCAGGCAAGATGCTGACACCTGCAGGGCAGAAGCTGCTCAATCAAGTGGGAAGCACTCCCCGCCCAGGTGGTTCGTTTACCGGTTCGTCGTCTAATTTGAGAAACATGTGGACACCAACTCCTAGGAGGTGCAAATGATGGTGCTCTTTTTTTTCGCCGTTTCAATTCCCTTATCATTTTTCTTGTCTTTCAATACCTTTCCTATGAGCGTTTCTCTCTCGCATGACTAGATACCATCACACAAACAACGGCGTTCTGCATCGAGGTTTGTCAGTTGCCATTCTAATCAGCGGTAGGATACATTGCTGACTTTAAGTGTCAGCTTCTCAAATTAGTTCTTTCCTCAGCCATACAGGGATGCAGGCAACTAGTGCTTGTACGTCTTTCTATGCATTCAATTACTAGAAGCTCTTGATTACCACCATCTAGGGTATTTGAGGCTGCATTGGCGACTTGGAACTTGTTCCCACCGCTTGTATCAAGATTGAGATACCTGAAGTCGAGGGGAACATAGAGGTCATCTCGAATGAACCGAGCCTTCCGGCCAAGGATACTCATATCATGCGCGAAATAAATGGTCTCCAGGTAATTCAGCGCACTTAAGTCAACATCAATAAGTTAATACACATTCAGTAACATCATAGGTCAATCCAAGAAGGGTATCTATTTTCGTATATGTCCAAGAACACACAAAAATCTCATCTCTCACGGTGTCGGGGTCAATGAGTCCCAGGACCTGATTCACGCATAACTCCCCACCCCCAAAAGAAGGAAGGGGAAAGTAGAGCGAGCCGGCCAGCGTGGGACAGCACTTAATGGGGGGAGGGAAGGTGTCTAGAGTCTATTAAAGTGCCCACAGCGCGGTCCATAGGGCGGTCAGGGCAAAAAAAGCGTTCCATACATTGTGACGGAGACCCGCCGCCATATTCAGATAGTACGCAGCTCCCAAGTAGCTGCAGGTGATATCGCCATTTGAGTCCCGGACCCCGTAGGAAGAATTTAACCACTGCCCCACGGGACAACTGAAGCCTAAAGCGGACGGACAATTTCGGACGAGACTGTGGCAGACGTCCTGGCAGGGGAGGATCTCCTTATAGGGACCCGGCTTGATGTCAGTGTCGATCAACGGGTTCCGTGATTGGTTTGTGGCAGGGTTAGTCAATAGACTACTGTTGGTGATGGAGGTGCCGTTTAAAAATGCCTGGCCCGCATTGCGGACTTGAAGAAAGGAGTCGGTGCTCGAGAAGTCTTGGCACCGGGGAATCGTTACAGCGCAAAGCCACTGCTTGTAGGCCTCGGCGCAGCTGTCGCAGGAGACAGCGAGGGAGAACATGGTTTCGCTGGAAGCATTGCACTGGACTTGTTGAAGAGAGTAATTGAAATTTTGGTAGAGAGATGCAGCATTGTCGTCATAGAATGTGCGTAAGGTCGAGGTTTGGGCGGACAAGTTCGATGGCACGGCATAGGCGACTTCTGAGCAGAATGAAAGGTCGTACACCAGTGCACAGTTGTCCTCTGTCCTTCTATCAGTAATGTCTCTGCATATGAGGCAGCAGGGTCCGACTGTAGAGCTCACCTGTCTTCGTAGTGAAATTCATCGGCTTCCAGACCTTCCCACCGCCACCTATTATCCCATTACCTGCACTGGTAGAATTGCCATATCGGGCCAGGATCCCAATGTAGGTAGAGCTTTTATTCAGACCAGTGGCATAGAGTTGTTCCTTAGGCCGGAACTTATCACCGCGTGCAGTCATACTGGACTCCACGTCCTTCATACCGATCTGCGCAAGCCGATCGAGGGCACAAAAGGATCGCTCCAGGCCCGAGACCGCAGTGCTGTTCAAGTTATTGGCAAACATTGTGTACGGGGGTGTCTTGTTCATCCATATGCTGATGTCCTGGGCGTCGATATCTGTGTCGGTGAGGTTTTTCGTCGTGAAGAGTGCGGCTTTTGTGTCCGAGTCCACCAGGTATAGAAGCTGATCCTCGGTATTTACATCGTGAAAAAAGGCATCGGTGGATACTGCAATTTGGTACGTGTACGACCCCGAATACTGCGTGTCATTAGGAGAGGTGACCCCGATATACATATTCCCGTCCGCTTCCAGAGTCGTGCCCATATAGCCCTCCTCGGCGGCAAACACCTGTTGTTCCGCACTATCTTTGTCGGGGCCGGGCTTCTCAAGTGTGTCGGACAGCGAGACGAAGACCTGCAGTTGTGGCACCGTGGACGAGGAACCGGTCGCATCTTCCGACTTGTTGAGACTCGGTTTCGAGCAGGCTGTCAGGGATAGATATATGGTCGTCGATCGTTTTGCAATATCTTTGCTCCGTTTCGAAGTGGTGTCATTGGTGCTATCGCCAGCGATCGAATCTGTAGGGAAATACCAGTGCTGAGTCTCACCCAAACTCAGCGTGCCTTCCTGGTACTGGTTGTTTCCCAGGGATGACACCCCAGTCGGGGCTCGACGGACCAAGTCTAGTTCACGTCCCCGAGTCTCTTCAAACTCCAGCCCATTATATGAGTCCAGTGGGAACCCAAACCGTGCGTCGACATCGCCGAGGTATATGGTCCCGTGGCTAGTAATGGCCAGCTGCGTCGAGGATTCTTCTTCAGCATCGTGAGCAGAGACGGGACCAGCGCAAAGAGTCACTGCGAGAGCGACCAAGAAAATAACCGCATCGGCGATCGCAAGCCTGTGCGACAAAGCCATTATGGATAGATGTGGTCACGTCCCTCCTGAGCGCAATTAATGTGATCATTTGGTTATCCAAAAGGGATGTGCTTCCTCTCACGGCTGAGGCCAGCCGAGTCGTGAGAGAGTTAACGAGTAGATGGAACAACAGTAGATGGAACAACAGGTTCAATCTACTCTGTCGAGGAATGAAGAAAGCGTTCTGATGGGTGTACAGTACAGTACAGTACAGTACAGTATAGTATAATACAGTACAGTACACCTCTGTCGGGAGCATTCGATGCCTCGGCCTACTGCGCCACAGATATCAAACAGGAGAATCACGTCACCCCCCCCCTCCCTTTGAATGCTTGTAGATTTCATATGAGCTTATCTTCGATAGAAGAAATTATGGAGATGCATTTAGGACCACATAAGATACACATATATCTCTCTATAGTATATATACACTATCTGGAGCCCCCCGCCCAGCTTCTTCAATACACTTTTCTCAAATTCAACAGACAACAGCACAAACAGCACAGAACACGAAGAGATTAGGGCCAAACCATGATATGCAAAAGTTCGATGACAAACAAGCATGATTCCAAAATCAAATCAAGTCAATCAAAGACCAGGTAATCGAAATCGAGTATGCCTGCCTTACACAAGCTTGTAGCGACGTGCGGCCACTCCGCTAATGATGATAATAGCACCAATGACGCCGATGATCCCGAAAAACCACGCAAGGCTCTCGGTGTGTTGTCCAGGGACCTCCACATTCATACCAAAGAGACCGCAAATGAGGTTCATGGGCACGAGCATGGTGGCAATGAGTGTCACCTTGCTGAGAACTTTGTTGACATGATTGCCCAGCATCAGGTTGGTTACATTCAGCTGCGCAAGATAGTTGGTGTGCGAGCGGCTAAGCATTTTTTCAAAATGGGCCAGATTAGACATCATGGTTACAACGTGATCCTGGATGTCGCCTAGATATAGGCCAATGTCACCGCGAGGCGTCACTGAGTACTGTTCATTGCAGCGTTTCGAAAAGCCCCGAATAACATCGGCCTTACCACCCAAGAGTCGCATCAAACTCATGACCTTTTTGCGAAGGCCGCCAATGCGTGGTAGGAAGGACTCAAAATCATCCATACGCGCGATGAACACAAGGTCTTCAATAGCCTCCGACTCGACCTCTATTTCACGGATCACGGGCCCAAAACTATCCACGATATCGTCGCTAGTCCATCACACATTAGCTCACAAGAGCATGACAGCCCACAAATTTGATTCCAACTTACATCATCGCATAACAGATCCAGTCGCTGCTGAGTGAGACATAATCGCGAAGCTTTCCGATTCGCTTCCGAACATTAGCTGCATGTGGATTCTCAGTGAATGAGAACGAAAGCACTCCATCGCGGAAGACAACCATATAAAAATTCACGGGCTCCATGAATTGCTCGCTGGTTTTATCCATCTGGTAAAAGGTCCTGAAGCAGACAAAATAATACTGCTTGAAAAGCTCGACCTTCTCGCGAGCTTCCTGGGTTAGGATGTCCTCCGTTGTCAAAGGGTGGATGGAGAAAGCTCTGGACAAAGCACCCACTTCGTCTTCTGTAGGATTCAACACGTCAAGCCACCAGACGCCACCATCCGGGCCAAGCTGGAAGAGATCACGGAAAGTGTCCCCGGGCAAGACCAGGTCACCCAACTCTGCAGCATGCACAGTACTTTGAGATTCGGAAGAGAAAAAGCCAAACCGGGTGGGCTCATTCTCATTCTTCATGTTCTCAAGTAACTCCTTCTCATTCGAAACTTCCGCAAATAGCTTTTCATTCTTCGCGGAAATCGAATCCAGTATATCATCAGATGAATTCTCTGTGCTTGAAGATCGTTTCGTGCCATCACTGTCGAAATTATGGACGCCCGCACGAAGGTCGTAGAAAATACGCGGTTTCTTGCTCTGTGAGCTCAGACTATGCTTACGTCTGCTTGTTGTGGGCTTCGCTTGCTGGCTGAGCGCGACAAATTCTTCCAGCTCCTCGTAATCAATGACTGGGATTCTGCCAGGCTGCTCGAATGTTGGCACACAACCATCATCGGTGGGCTCCAGTTGTGCGTCCCCAGCCTGCGGCCGTATCACACTGGCATTGCTGAACGTTGGGCGGCGATGGTGCGTACCGCCGGAAACAGTACGTTGAAGAATGGCCTCAAGATCAGGAGCTCCGTGGCTCTCCAGGGTATTCGCCCGTTCCCGGCGACGTGGATCTGCGAACGCCTCGACTGAGTTAGGCGGGGAGGTCGATCGAGCTGATACGGATGACTCGCGCGACAAGTTGGCATAATCCTGATGTGTGCGGCTGTAAGCGCGACCATGCCGGACATTGCCGGTGGGATCAACAGAGAAACGACGTCCCAGTGCCGTGAGATCTTGAATAGATCGATCGTCGTCGACAACTGCTTGCTCAAAGTCGCGCGAAAAGGACCCGGCCTCTCGCAGGGCGTCCTGTATAATGAGCAAGTCTGGGCGTTGGGGAGTCTCTGGGTGCAAACCCTGCGGTGCGGTATTTTGCCGGCTAAGCGGCACATCGGGTGCGGCGTCCATTCGAGGCGGATCCAGCTGAAAACGGTGGTCATCGAGTTCGGGGACAGGAGTGCTGTATCTAGTGAGAAACATGTATTTCTCGGACTTTGGTGACTCAGACATTGTGCTGGAATCGATTTCTATGTAGTCGCTGTGTTTCGGTACTAGTCGATCAAAATTTTTTATAGGATGCGCGTTGCAAGCGGCTGGTACTGAGCGCCCTGGCTACTTGATTCTCGGCGAGTTCCGCTGGGCTCAAGAACGCGATATTGCACACAGGATGATGGGTGAATTCCCAGGAGTATTTGCTCCTCCATCCATTAGCCAGACCCGTCGGTAGGGCCTGGCATTACCGATGCGCGTCCGTGTGCCAGCTTCAGGATCGCTGGGAAATCGTATTAGGGGGGTCTAGTGTCGCCCCCGCAGAAGACCCTGAACTTAGGGCCCAAAAGAGGGTGAGGGAGGGAGGACTGGTTGTAGCGAAGGCCCGCCAACTTGACTGGATCAAGTAAATAGGAGCGTTGTCGCTCCAGGGGGTTGCAACGGAGGTGGATGGACAAAGGAAAGTCCTTTGACCAGTGTCTTCGAGGCCTGCCTCAAGATTCGAGCAATGACGTTAAGACGGCCGATTTTGGCACTAGCAGAACAAGAGTGCGTGCCAGAAATTCAGGTTGATGATCGATGCTGGGAAGGGGCGATCCCAAGCTCAGCACCAACACTAGGAAGTGATGAATGTGTTATTAGAGGTTGGTTTGTTGCAAAGTCGGTTAAAATGACTTGTGTGAGGCCGCAAAGCCAGACTTTGCTCAGGAACTAGGTTGGACACAGTGCACTCGGGAAGAGAACTTCACACACAAAGTTAGTCACCACTATTCAAAAGTCCTTTCGAAACACAAAACAGACCTTCTGTAGAATCAACAAAAGATGGGGTGGGTTGTGGTAATTCTGAACTGTCCACCTAGAAAAGGTGATTCCGTCTTTAAGCCCAGAGACGAAGAGGGGAATGGAAGGGGGAGGGGGAGTGAGGGAAGAGGGAGGCACAAAACCGGAGTTGGGTTGGTCAATGATTTATTTTACCCACATACAACGGCTCAAGTAGGCGGGCAGAGATTTCCGCTCGAGGGCCAGACTGCCCTGTGTAATTGCATAACCACAGCTTGTATATTTTGTTTCTCTTCTCTGTCTCTGTTTTTTTACTCAGGTCTGAGTGAACAGGGGGCGTGAATGATTCCACCGTGGACTCTTCAAGGTTAGCTTCTTTAGCTTCTACTTATAGAATGTTGACTTGGCCAGTGTATGTACATCTTACAGACAAGAGAGCACAAGAGAACACCTCACGAAGATTAGTACGGAGCGAGTGAGTAAAGCGAGATTGAGGTATTGTACTGTACTTACAGTACTTGACAACTTTAGTCCAGACACCAACCGTCTGGCACTTCAAATTACCATACCTTTTACTGTTCCGATATCTACTCTAGCGGGGGTCGCGGACAGTCAGCAACAGCAGCCCATGCTTTCAAGAGAAACTAGTTAGGCACTTCGCATCATGAGGTGATTTCGGATGTTGTTTACAGTACTAGGTACATATTGGTATGTTTTCACATATGGTCATGATCGGTCGTGGTACTATAAACTGAGTTTATAGTATGAGTATGGAAACCCAGTGGAGGTTCCCATAGATGCCCTCGACCTCCAAGTGTACTACTGTAAGTCTTTTCTCCCGAGGCCCACCTCCTCTTCAAAGATTCTCATTCTGGAGCGCATCAGGCACCAATTTTATATTTAGCTCCAGTATGTCTTCCGTCCCGAGTACGGAAGTCCATGTTCTAGCCGGTAGATTAGTTGATTGGTCGCATGTAATGTCGGTAATCATGGAATCTTCCGTCCTTCAAAGATTATACTCGTATCACCGCCTATTACTTACTTACCCTCGTGGTCACAGGGATGGTTTCGGTTCTTTCGCTGGACGTGAGAGACCCGGTTCATGTTGCAAGGTTGTTGAAGTAGCCAATTCCCTGAATACGTACATGCGGTCGTCAGAGAGTAGTTAGTAGGTAAATACTCTGATTTGTAGAAATCGTCAACTCGACTCTGCATAGTTTAGCTTCTCTGGGTCCGACCTCGGCCGATCATCGGTCGGTCCCCTTCCTTCCCAGAAGTTGAATTTTCGGCTGCGCGCACGCGCCAAGACATGAAGAGTCACCGAGACGAGCAACTTGGAATCGAGTCGACTTCTATCAAAAGTACAGTACTCCGTACTTTGGATCCCATTATCATTCTTCCAGGCCGTCCCCTTGACCTCTATCGTTTTTTGAAATCCGTTCTCTTGCTCAAGGCCTCTGGTCTTGCCTAACTTTTTGAACACAATGGCTTCTCCCACCTCGTTTTCGTTAAAGATTCCCTGCTCCTCCGCCAATATCGGACCTGGTTTTGATGTGATCGGCCTGGCATTGTCCCTTCATCTCGAAATTCAAGTCACCATTGATACCTCTAAGAGCTCTTCTCAACAACCACTCAATTGTGTGATCACTTATGAGGACCGGAGCAACAGCGTCGAGAAGATCGACCTGGACCCGGAAGTGAATCTGATCACCCGTGTAGCTCTATATGTACTTAGATGCCATGACCAGAGGGCATTCCCCGCTGAGACCCATGTGCACATTGTAAACCCAATTCCACTGGGCCGGGGTCTCGGCTCATCAGGCACTGCAGTCGTGGCCGGTGTAATGCTGGGAAATGAAGTAGGCCGTCTGGGTCTGAGCAAGGAGCGGATGCTAGATTATTGCTTAATGATAGGTGAGTCATCCCACAAGTGAGGTGCAGAGCAGCCATGACTCTACCGGGGCAGCGGGACGGTGCTGACTATGTCTACAGAGCGACACCCTGACAACGTTGCTGCCTCGCTCTTTGGGGGTTTCGTCGGAACCTACCTCAACGAGCTCAAGCCTGAGGACGTAGCGCGCAAGGAAATCCCCCTTAGTGAAGTCCTTCCCGCCCCCGCCGGTGGCGTTGATACCGGAAAGAGGCCCCCTGAGCCTCCTATTGGAATCGGCCACTATAGGAAGTTTCAGTGGGCCAAGGAAATCAAGGCCATCGCTATCATCCCCGACTTTGTGGTGCCAACCGCCAACGCCAGAAGCGTCTTGCCGACTTCCTACTCGCGAGCGGATGTGGTAAGTTTTTCTGAGCCCTCGTTTCGTACCTGGCGTACGGGGTTTATCAAAGAGATGTATCACGGCACTAATTGATCACGTCAATCAGGTTTACAACCTCCAACGCGCTGCTTTGCTCCCTGCCGCCCTGGGCAGTTCCCCCCCGGACCCGGACATGATCTATCTGGCTATGCAAGACAAGGTTCATCAGCCTTATCGCCAGACTCTTATTCCGGGTCTGACGGAGATTCTCCAGTCGATGAATCCACGTACTCAGCCTGGTCTCTTGGGAATATGCCTTTCTGGCGCGGGTCCAACTATTTTGGCTCTAGCAACCGACAATTTCGAGGAGATCGCAGATCGTATCATTGCTCGCTTTGCTTCCAATAATATCACTTGTCAGTGGAAGCTGCTCGAGCCTGCCCAAGCCGGTGCCACTATCCAGTACTAAAGCACGTGCCAATTTGCCACAATTCCGTCCCGCTTTCTACGAGAATTCACATAGGACTACAGATCTGAAGCATGATTCTATGGTCTTGATAGCGTGCCAGTCTGTGAATTACTAATAGATTACCGGAGCAAAGCATGCACACAGGAAATGGGTGCTAGGATCATAAAGCGGACTTGCTACTTAACGACCTATAAGTTATAATGGGAAATTGCCCTTTATCTTAGGGGCCTCTAGAATTACTTGCATGGAGATAGGCTTAGCCCCCATAGAGTTGACTATGTAATTACTCAACCAACAAACCCTGCTGGTGTTGACTGTATTTTTGTTTGTTTAGCTGGTGATCAATGCAAGTCGCTGCACACGGTGGCTTATCTGTATCGGAGCCCCGATAAGTCAAAGGCGGTGGAGATAATGCCACGACTTCAACTCGTGCTGCCGTTATTACGTAGAAGGGGCTGTGTCTGACCACGAAGAGTCAAAGCCGACTGTGAGCGTCAATTATTCTCATCGAAGTGCACATCCACAGAAGTCGCCATGGACAATTTGCTATCACCTATCCAGGACGCTTTGGAAGGCCAAATAGTAAGTGGAGTGCACCTCGTTGGTCGAACACATCCAAGGCACTAACCCAGTCCTTTCTACCTTGACAGGACTACCAAGGCCAGCACATGGCAGAACTTCTTTCCACAGTCCTTCTCATCATCTCAGGTGTGAGTACAAGCATGCTGGATTCGCCCATGTCGCTGTTTCTGTTCCTCGCTATTTCTGTCCCATGGGCCGCTTACAAGTATTATTGAAAGGCTATTGCTTTCCTTGTGGGATACATTCAGCAAGACATTCATCTAACCCTCTGGGTTGGACTCGCGGGTACCGCAACAACCGGCTTGGTGGTGATCCCTCCTTGGCCAATGTACAACAAGAGGCCCGAAAAATGGCTGGCACCGACGTCGGCGGGTATGGGAGTTGCAGGGGTCATGGTAGATGGTGTAAAGGTTGCATGAGATTTAGCTGTGGACTTTACAATTCATTCTGAGCCTTATTCGATCACGGTTGTCCGCATCCCTCAGGAACAGCCCAGATCTGTATGAATATTTCAAAAGTCACTGCTAGGAATGCAAAAGAAACCCGCTCAACGCCACCCAATCCCTCCCAATCCGATCATACTCAGTTAGAGAATGTACGAGCGAGGCCATGGCCAGCCTGCTGTCTAGACCCAATCGCAGCAGACATGAGTCTACCGGCCATACTTTTGAAACTCCCAGTCTCTGTTGTCTAAAGGGCAGACTTGGCGGGTTTTTAGCCATCGTGAGATACAGTGGAAGTGGAAGGCGTGCTTGGCAGGAGTAATACCGATCAGTGCTCTGTACCCCAAAAGCAGGGAGAGGACAAACTCACATTACAGATGCCCCAAGCTACTGTACACTCTTCCGTCGTAGACGAACCTTGATTTGCCTGGCATTCGATGCCTGCAAAAATAATATGTCAGACACGTCAGGCATCAGGTTAAGGGAAGATGACAGCCGTACATAAATCCATGATATGGTTGCGGCAAATCGCACAGTTGTCGACAACAATGTCCCAAGCCCACAGAGCCACAGCATTCCACTAGGGCGATACTTGTGTTATTTCCATGTGCAGATAGGAGAATGGCTTCACGTGGCTATACCTTCTTGACCTCGAACTTTTTCTTGCCATCACTGGAGGCATCTGTGGCCTTGGACATCTCCTTCACCTTAGAGGCGCCAGAAGTGGTCGCCTCTTTCATTTCCACATCCGCCATTTTCAATTGTGTCGGGGTCGTTCCTTATATGTTCGGTGAGCGCGGGTTTGTAGGCGAAGACCAGAGGATGTCTTCTCTAGTTGCGGGGGACTCGGAAGAGGGGCGCGCAGCTTGAAGGATTACGTAGGGTTCGGGTTGGTAGAGCTCGATTAGTTAAACTAGGTCCTGTTCCGGGTCAGTTGCGGTGTACGTACAGTGTAGGCAGGGCAATTAGCGCGAGACGCCTTGATTACTAGGACGTACGCAATGAGACACACTTCTGACACAAGGGCTTCTGCAATAACTGCCAAAACTTCTTATAGTTCGTGATTACCAAATGGTGGACTAAGAGGGCAGATGTCTCGAAGAGGTGTTAACTTACTGAAAACAATTGCTACCTGATCCTCGGCCGACTTTACTATACGTAGTGAGCCAAGGTGGGCGGCGGATGCTGAGTCATCACTGTTCACCCCCGCTCCTGCCCCCAGCCTTTCTTCTTCCCGCCCTTCCCATGGTCCAACAATCACTTTGAACCCAACCCAGCTTCAGCGACTTCCTACAATGTTTCCCCGCCTGCTTTCTTTACTCTGTCTTCCATCGCTCGTCTAAATGTGAGCATGTCTAGGATCTCAGGCTTATACTTCTTATCGTTCTCGTACTCATTCCAAACTTGATCTTGTACACAGAAGCTTTGCATATCTTCCCCGTTCACACCCTCCGATCCAAGGCCAACTGGTTGGGCTACACCTCACCATCATACTGCTCAATTGTCACTTCGTCGTCTCTTGAGATTCTAGTGTCAGGTTATCCAGTACAGGCTGCTGGGCACACTGCGTAGTACAGCGAAATCTTCGCCTAATTATTTTGACTTGGCTCTACTTGTCATCACGCTTGTTTTCTCATTTCCGCTTCCGAAGCCGTGTCTATCAAAGCCATTTCACAATGTCAACCCAATCACCCACTCCTCCAACGCCAAAGGGTCCTCGAAACAATCGTCGGAATTCAAAAAGAAATACCACGCCGCTGTCTCAGAAGGCCGCCTTACTGGCAACCCCGCCCTCGTCGCCACCGCGGAATCAGAGTCCTGGCGGAACCGCCACTGACTCTTCTTTCAACTATAACCCTAGTGCGTCTAAGAAGAAACCTGCGCGGACCAACAGAAAACCTCGCGATGCATCAAGGGCCTCTCCTGTTTCTTACAACGGGCACCGGCATACCTCCTCGCACTCACACAATCTTTCCACTCCCCAAGCGAAGGACAGCTCGCATTATGCAGGTCCTACCTTTCATGCATCGCCAGCGCCATCGGCCCTTCCAATACCAAGTTTTTTTTCTAAATCGTTACCTGAGTCGGACATTTCGTCGGGACTAGAAGCCGACAACGACAATCTCGATATCAGTCCAGAATCAGAAAGTACGCCCTCCAAATCCAGAGTGCATCCGGTCTATGAGGATGAAGGACGCCAACCCACCCCACTCGATTTCCTCTTCAAAGCTGCAGTTGAAGCTCGAAATGCTCAGCAGCCGCATAGTCCGGAGTCGATTATGAGGATATCATCCCCACAAACTGATTCGAAAGCCCTTTATAACCGCAGTACCATCGGCGCTGGCGCTAGCGATGGACTGTTCACAGCCGATGTGGATAGTCCTGAAAGCGGTCAATCGCTTATCGGGGCCTCGTTCGCTGCATCCTACAAGGATCGCATGAACGCTCTACGATCAGCCAGTTCACCCTCTCCTTCAACAGGCCACCTGGATGAAAATGAACGACAGGTCAAGACAGAGGCTTTGAAGAGCTTGCTGCTCAACCCTCGTCCTCAGAGACCGTCCTCAGCTTCAGTTACAGCCCAGAAACAACATGGAAACTTCAGTGGGCATCCTTCTGCCAATCACAATGTGCCTCACTTTGCGACTCCCCTAAGAGCAACTTCTGGGCCACCTGCTTCTTACTCGCATGGCAAGTCCACCGAGCACCAACAATCCGTTCCTGGCACCGGTTCGTATTCGCCATCAATATACACACAACACCACGTTTTTCACCAAGCCCAGCCTCCATACTCGCCTCTTCGAAAGGAGGTTCTCTCAACGAAAGTTGGGAACAGACCGACTGTTCCTGGAGAAGCGCACTACCCTCCCCCACATACATACGGACAGCCAAGGTCTCCGCCTAAGTATGTACAGTACCCAATGTACTATCCCCCACCTCAGCACTCTCCTGTGTCACGTGCCATCTCGGTCAGTCCAGCTGCGCAATCTGTCGATACTAAGAAGATGGAGGATGATTTGCGACGTATATTGAAACTTGATGCGCCCTCCGGTGTTTCAGCTGGTGGCATTCAAAGCTCATTCGCCTGACTACATCTCTACGTCACGAAATACTATCCTTGACTTTTGTGCTCATACTTGTTCCCAATCAATTCTTCTCTTGATGCTTCGGATCTTGAGTACCATCTGTCCAATGACTGATTCGAGCTCAACCCACGCTTCTGAGCGCATCCCGGGCGATACTAATAGTCGTATTCGCACCATTGCATGCCTTTCTTTCAGACTTGATTGATATGTCTTCAAATATTCCGATTTTCCGTCTGGCTCAGTAGCTATTTTTCCCTACTTGCCTTGTTTCTCGTTCCTTATGGGTTTTCGTTTTGGTTCCATCCCCTCCTGTCCGTCCTCCCTTGTTGAAATTCACCGCAGTTCATGTTGGTAACTTTATGTTGTGGATGGCTGGATCATGACTCTCACTGGGATCAATTATACCCCATTTGCATCGAACCTGGAGTCTGGTTGCCTTTTGAGTATTTTTCTCCGGGTGTTGAATCGGTAAGGCTTGATGACCGCGTTGTATGCTTCATTGTTGTTATTGTAGTACTTTCCCTGGTTGTGTTCCTTTTACCACATCTTGTTATGGGGGCTATCTTTCTATTCCTGTGTTGTCCTGATGGTTGCATTCTCTGACCACCCTATATCATGTCAGGATTGTGTGGCACAATGCTTTCTGGCTAGATTACTCATTATGAAGCTGAAGGAATCTCCATTAAGGGCAACCTTGGAGCAGGTGTTGGTGGTACACACGATTCCGCATAACCTCCAGAATCTCTATTATTCCTATGTTTCTATATTTCTCAACATTTACTAATCTGTATCTGCATTCATTACCGTCCATGCCATTCATTACCTGATGTGGTCTTGTCTGCACATAATCATGTACCGGCGGTCTACCATAGCTCTTTTAAGCACCCTGTTTATTGGGACACATGAGTGATGATGCATATAACTACGGGTCAGCGCTGAAGGCGGAGTCCCCACCCCACCCCCCCTTGCTGCTTGTTGCATTGGCGGCAGCAGGCGAGCTTGCCAAGAAGGATCAGAACAGAGGATAATATTCACTGATACTGGCTGCTTAGCGAGGGAGGTAACTTCCTATGAGGGAGGAATTTAGAAGGAAACATGGACATATATTATGTCTGAACATATATGAATATATCAAAACCCTACCTCTGCCTGACGGAGAATGTGAAAAGGGCAAGCTTAAGGAGTAGCGATAGACTCATGATAGCTAGGTATTAGGTATATATTAGAGAATCTGTACATCAGCGTGATCACACCCAATAACCTAAAGGTCGTCATCCCATCTAATTAAGGTAACTTGACTGGAAGACTCAGAGCCCAGAACGCGGACAGAAGCCGCCACGACAACGAAGCCAAGCCTAACGGCGAAATGGTACGGAGTAGTTCCCGATGACCCACTCGGCTTCTGCTCCACTTTGCACTGAAAAATTACGCGGCCAGACAGAAAAGAGCTGATGAAGACGAAGATGGAGTTTGTAGGTTACTTCTACGTATCACTACTATTGTGGATAGGACGTAAAAAAGTAGTGAGTCTGTTGGGACTCTTTGTATCCATGGTTATATATATATATATATATATATATTTATGTACCGTAACATACCGTACCTCATTGTATAACTATAGGGAGCGGAACCTGAGTTCGAACGCCGCTTTAGGGAAAATTGATATTGACACCGGCTGTATTTCTAATACGTCCGGTGTTCAACGCCTCTAAGTAAGCGGTAGGGCTTTCTAAGCTTCTTCCCCTTAATACTATTATACATATATCGATATAGACTCCTAGAACCCTGATAGCAATAACTTCGGCCTCGAAGAGTCCTAGTAGTTCCTAATATAAGAAGTATGCTAACAGAAAAATAAGTATCTCTAGTACCAATGCCGGTTGCATGGGAAAGACTCCTGGCCAATTATCCACATTAGGGGGGGGGTTTGATGATAATTAACTCCTAGGAAGTACCTTATGTACTAGGTATAAGCACTCCGTGACTGGTAGTTAGTTATGAGTACAGAGTTTACAGACAGCAACTTCCTAGTATCCGAATTTAGCTTTAATATTTGTCCAAGAGCGCAGGAATGCAACGCAGTGGCGCTCTCTAGAACCCGGCTTCCCTCGCGCAGAACGTGCATTCAGGAGAATTTCTAGGCAGTTCAATGAAGAAGAAAGAGAGAGAGAGCTGTGGTAGGATTCCGTACAATACAGTACAGTACAATACAATACAATACATTAAGGATAGCCCCATACAGTAAAAGGCGGGAAATCCAGCCAGCCAGTTTCCTGGAGCTGAGCATGGTCTCTCCTTCCTTCCCTGGTTGCGGATGCCCCAAATCCAGGGGGCAATCTTCCCTCACTACTCCGTACAAACAAAGTAGTCATCTAGTAGTTAACTACTTGTAACTTAACTACTGCAGTAAGCAAACTAACCATCTCACAATAATCCCTGATAAAAAGGATGAGTCGTTACTAACTACAGAATACAGGAGCGATATATAAATCAGATCTCAGATTATACTGAGTAACTGCTCTATATAGTGGATTGATTACCTTCCTTACTATTAATATACTTTCCTCTTCTTGCCTCCTTCCCTCCCACTTTCTTCATCCATCCCCAGTTTACTCCGTACTTATCCACGGATTCAGTTGCTTCTTTCCAATCCTGATAGTAAGCATTGTTCACAGGAATAGGCTCTTGAATTCTTTTCCCCCCCATTTTTTCCAGTTTATTATTATTTTTATTGTTGTGGTTCCCCTTCTCGATTCTCCGATCTCTTACTTCTGACCTTCAGGTCCATTTTCCATGATTAATTTGTTCTTTTGAGATCTTTTCTTCTTTTTTTTCTTCTGTAATTCTACTTCTACACTCTCCCTCTCCCTCCCTCTCTCCGCCCCTCTTCCCCCTTCCTTGCCGCCTTCCCCTCCCACTCCGTCCACTTCTCTTCTCTTTCTTCCCTCCCCTTCCTCTCTCTCTCCTCATCTTGATTGTTCTCACACTTACACTCACACTCACAATCTCAAGTCCTCTTTCTCGTCTCCCACTCCCCCCCCTCCCCCCCCTTCCACATCCCTTTTCATCCCCTGGCCCCAAAAGAGCTGTCCATTACAACACGCGATTTTCTCTCATCCATCAATCATTTAATTTCGTCATTCGCATCCACAATCTGAACATATCTTGCAATTCCAGTCCTTGGCCAATACAACAAACTTCGGTTTTCTGCATCGACTCCAGGCACAGAGCCAATGGTCACCCTCCGCTGTTCCTGACCTAGGCAACGAAGAAATATCCGTTCGGACACGCAACTCGGCTTCTTGTTACATCTTCCTCCCTTCCCCACCCGCCTCTCAAAATGGCGAATGCGTAAGTGTTTTATATTCTTTGTGGTTGACGGAAACATACGAAACCATTTATTCATTGACTTTACTGCTGTCCAATCACACTAACCGCTTAGATAGTATCGGTTCAGCATGGCGTTCCTTTTGGCATACAATGACTTCCTATGATCGCCATGCATCCCACGACTCACCTTATCGATCAGGCAAACATGTGCCTCTCAGTCAAAGTCGACACGAGCCACTCACGTCCATTGCGACCAGTGCTATCGAATCGCGCCCGGATTTAACTGCCCCTTACGATGACGACCAGCAAAAAGGCTCGAACGGCTGGTCTGGATCTCCTACGGGCACGGGGTCCCCGCATCGTCCTTATTCGCCTGGTATGCGTTCATTGTCATCACAAAAGCGGCAGTCAACCGACCCCGGTGTGGAAGGAGTCCCGGAGATCCAGATGCAAAGCTTTCACGACGGCGCCCCGCCCCCGCCCCCGGTTGGTCACTCGTGGAGAAAGATTGACAGATGGCTGGAGCACAATTACGAGGAGCTTTTCGATAACTTGTGTGAGGGCTGTACACAGAATGATATCAACGAATTGGAGCACGAACTAGATTGTAGCTTGCCACTAGAGGTTCGGGAGTCGCTGATGATGCACGATGGGCAGGAGCGCCCGGGTTTGCCTACTGGCATCATCTTCGGATGTATGCTCCTCGACTGTGAGGAGATCGTTCAGGAATGGAAGAACTGGAGGACAGTCAATGAAGAATTCTTGAGCAGCTCGATGATGAACGCGGTCCCGAAAGCAGTCGCCAGCTCGTCCTCGGCCGTTCCGCCCACGCAAGCGTCAAATCCCATGTGGAGACAGGATCTTCTCGAGCGTCAGGACTCGCAGCCCCCAAATGCTGTTCAAAAGGCATATGCTCATCCTGCGTGGATACCTCTGGCTCGCGACTGGGGCGGCAATCACATTGCGATTGATTTGGCCCCGGGGCCTGCTGGGAAGTGGGGACAGGTCATCCTCTTTGGTCGCGACTATGATTGCAAATATGTGGTCGCTCGGTCTTGGGCTGCATTTCTGGCCACGTTTGCCGATGATATTTGCAGCGGCAAGGTTCACGTGGACGAAGAGACCAATGAGCTCAAGCTTCTCGAATTCAAGGCGCAGAATGTCGAACCCCCTTATCTCGAGATTTTACGCTGGAGAACTGACCAAAAGTATGGTCGAAAACCACCTCGCCGCAAGACTCCCAGCGGCTTGGGACTGACTACAGGAGGCAAATCTGGCCAAGCATCCCCTTATGGCAGCCCCACCCCGAGTGAAGAACGAGGCAGGTCGCCGCATCGCTTCTCAAATCGCGGTTCTACTCAAAGCCCAAAGACTCAGTTCGGCATCTCAAGTCCCCTGGCTCGCGTCACGGAGGAGGCCACAAGTCCTGTTCACACCACAGCGGATGCTAGTAACTCAGAACTTGCATTCAAGGATGAACAGGCCGAGGATCTGATGGAAATTGCTACTCCCCAGATTTCTGGGAAAGAGAATGACGAAGCACTGAGAGCTGAGTCTGAGCATGGACAGTCAGAAACCGACAAGGGGCTGTCAGACCAACCTCCCGCTGCCGGGTTGAACCCTGAGGTTTTAGGCGAGATGAAAAATGTAACTATCTAGATACTGTTTTGCAGCGCTGTTTTGTTCTTTGTATTTCTGCCCATCCGTTTCCTCTATCATGCCTTCGCTCTGACTATGAGCATTCTATACTTTCGCAGTATTAATGAAGGTTGATCTTTTGTTAGATTGTCGAGCATGCCATTTTCTCCTCAGCTCATTGGTCAGCGATGGGGATATCAACTTATTTTCCGAGTCCATTGTATAAACTTCTCACTTCGTCCTCCATGGCACCAAAGGCTTTTACTTCTGTTTCTCATTCTACCTCATTTACTGTCCGAGCATTTTTCTGTCGATCGTCCTTGCTTAGGAGGTTGTTTGTGGATTTTTTCATCGCCTCCAATCTCTGTCTTATGCCTTCACGATGCTTGTATGTAATCTTACTTGACAATGATGCGGTACTCAACCACTTCCGGCGAGTCACATGCAGTCAGTTTTTTGATCAGTCCCTCGGCTCCCGGCTATAAGACTCAAGGAAGTGTTCAATGGTAAACCTGCCAAGATTCGGATCGCCTGCAGGGACCATCCGTCCCATCGTGATGAAGCTTGCACAAATCTCTAAGGTAGGTGGCTAAAACCTTTTTTCGACACGAACTTTGCACCAATCACACGTGGCTCATTTGATTCAACGTTTCGAGCCACCAAATGAAAGCACTTTTTGCTTATAGCAGCGACAACCATAGACGAGCTGACCATCATTTGATTGATCACGCGAAAATAAAAGGCCCTATGGCTTAGTGCGTGACGCAGAAACTTGCGGCTGTTCACCATATGCTCACAGACATAGGCGTCCCAACACCACAGTGCATGGTTGGGTATACTCAAATCTGGTAACCATGCAAGGGCCCATTGCTTACATCATGATGCTATCTGGGGTGGGAAAGGCTTCTTTCGTTCAACTCATAGTTATCATGCGTTGATCGTTACGCCCAGGCCCTATATTTGTAGGCGAATTCAACGCTAATCCCAATCATCATCATCATCCTCCTCGCCACCAGCAAGGCGGCGTTGATGTACGTTACCGGTCCGGATGGCCCGTTGCCTTCCATACCCTCGCCGACTGTTGCCGTTGTCGCTGTCTTCATCAGATTGGTCTGAGGTGTCACCCGTGGCCTTTATTTTCTCTTGGGTGAGAATTCCCTTCCAGAGCAGCCGTTTCTCTAGCGTTGCCGTGCTGAAGGCGTCTGTCCCATCGCGCCCACCTGATCCAAGGCCCTCGAATCCCACCACACGTTCGACCGCTACCCCATCCTTGAAACCGATGACACAGGGAAGGACACGAATCTTGAGCTTTTCTACAACAAACGGGGTGTCCCGCACGTCAACCCGCGCAAAGCGTACTTCGTGGTGCTGAGAAGCCAGCGCCCGGATGTGCTCGTCCATGGTGGTGCAACGCGCGAAATCTGGGTGTGCGAAGTGAATGACACATCGGTGGGTTTGTGTTGTGAAATCCAGAAGTATTTGATCGGTTCTTAGGATAGGATAGAGGCTATCCTCAACGATTGTTCCAATAGGAGCAGCGGTGCGGCGGGCCGCATCGTTCTGGGCGGCGGTAAACTCAGCGTTGAGCTGTTCGATTCGATGCGCGCGGTACGATGAATCGTCTTCGTTCTCCAAAGCTTCAAGAAGGGCATCGTCGTCGGATTCATCCCGGTCTCTGGTAAGATGTTGGGCCATGGAGATGAGCGTTTTGAGGGAATGTTGGCGAATCTGCGTATGTGATTGGTATCCTTTGTGGAATCGGAATAGGAGGGAAAGGCGAAAGATGACTGGAATGCCGTGGAAGTGTTCAGCGGAGAGATGAAGATTGTCTGTGTTTGTCTGTGTATTGTCTGTGTGGAGTACTGTACCGTATATGTATTTGAAGTATAACCATATTGTATAGTTTTTGTATTACAGTACCAATTAAGATTGCCGCATCCGGAACCAGAGATCGGCCTCTGCCACCTGCACTGCAGCCAGCCAGCCAGCCAAGAGTTCTGCTGGAACAACACTTTATCAAATTCCTTCCATCTTCCCACCACCAACTAGTTACCACTCTTATTTCCCCCCCCTCCACCCCTTTCCCTTCTCTTTCTTATCATTACTTTTGCGCCTGCTCTTACTCCTCCGTTTGGAACCATTTTCCTTAGGGACTTGCCTGTATCTTTGGTCTCAAGGTTGTTATAAGGACTTTTTGTTCCTTGAAACAACTCCTCTCGACACGTTGTCGCTCACTCCGCCAACTGCGACTATCTGAATCCCACCTGAGCATCCTCTCCCTATTGCGCTCTCGCCAATCCCCACCGTCTCAAGTCAAGAAAATGGCCGAAGGAAAGAGGACAGACGACTATACAATTGAGATGGACAAATTGGATCAAGGCAACAAGGGCTTCGAGGCGCCGGCGCCGGCGCCTCAGCCAAGGAGCGCCCCATCCAGCTCTCTGCAAAACAATCCAATCCTGCCAGTATTAGCTTACTGTGGATCGTCCATCCTGATGACAGTGATGAATAAATACGTCCTCTCCGGCACGGACTTCAATCTTAATTTCTTCCTCCTTTGTATCCAGGTACGTCGATGCAGCATTGAGCACCCGAGACTCAAAATCGCGCGTAGCGGCGTGTACGAAGAAGATGCTGACCGCAGTTGCATTTCTATGTCTCCAGTCCGTCGTTTGTATCGTCGCAATTCAGACGTGTAAAGCCTGTGGTATAATCACTTACCGTGACTTTAGTGCGGACGAGGCCAGGAAGTGTATGTAGTTCCAAAGGCAGTCCTACCCGCTGAAACAGATGCTGACTGGATCTCGATCATACTTAGGGTTCCCAATTACCCTATTGTTGATTGGCATGATTTACACGGGCTCTAAGGCGCTCCAGTTCCTTTCGATCCCAGTATACACCATTTTCAAAAATTTGACCATCATCCTTATCGCCTATGGTGAAGTCCTGTGGTTCGGTGGCTCTGTCACCGGGCTTACGCTGTTTTCCTTCGGTCTGATGGTTCTGAGCTCCATCATTGCTGCGTGGGCAGACATCAAACACGCTGTCGAAAGCAGCTCCGACGCGACCGCTAAGGTTTCGACACTGAATGCCGGCTACATCTGGATGTTGTTCAACTGCCTCTGCACTTCGTCCTACGTACTGGGCATGCGCAAACGGATCAAGCTCACGAACTTCAAAGACTTCGATAGTAAGTTGTTTCCCCTCCGATCATGGTCGCGCATCTGCCCTGTTTCTGACGTACCTTTCCAGCCATGTTCTATAACAACCTTCTCTCCATTCCTGTGTTGATCGTACTTTCCGGCTTGCTAGAGGATTGGTCATCTACGAACGTCAACCGCAATTTCCCCCCTGTCGACCGTAACAGTATCATCTTCGCTATGATCCTCTCGGGCTTGTCTTCGGTCTTCATTTCATACACATCCGCATGGTGCGTTCGTGTGACCTCCTCCACGACGTACTCCATGGTCGGCGCTCTCAACAAGCTGCCCATTGCGGTTTCTGGATTGATATTCTTCGATGCACCAGTCACCTTTCCCAGTGTTTCAGCTATTGTCGTGGGTTTCGTCAGTGGTATTGTCTATGCCATTGCCAAAATCAAGCAAAATGCCAAGCCCAAAACGGGCGTTTTGCCCACCGCTAATCCTCCCGTGAGCGCCAGCAGTCAGAGCATGAGAGATTCATTGCGGTCCTAAATAGAGTTACGCTTGTTAGCACAAACGGTCTGCTCTAGGATGGAATTGCCAAGCTGATTACCGAGAACGGTGCTCTGCTTGTGTAGTACTTCCACGGTGCAGCGTGCACAAACCACTAGACTGAGTGAAACAAGGAAATCGTGCTAGTTCAGTAGGTCCAAGAGGCCCTCAATGCTCATTTTTGCGTTTTACATCTTCAAGGCACCTTCTCGTCTTGACTCGGTCACTTCGAGCTCATTTCTATGCTGCATAAGTTCCTCCCCTTCGACTTTGGTCAGCATCGCCAGCATTTACATTGTCACCTTAAGATGCGTAGGGGGTGTGGCATCATTTTTTTTTTCAACAGTGTGCGGTGTCTCCATTTCTTCCCGAATTTCGTCCTCCATTCGCGTGGGGCATGGCTGAAAGCGTGTCTTCTGATTTAAGACTGGTTGATACCACGAAGTCACCATGGGAGCGAAGGCAGCATGGAGGGGTAAGGAAAGATGAATGAACCAATGTGTCTTAGTGTCTTGAGTCTGTATATATGAAAGTCGGATATCGCATTTTAATAAAGTCATAGATACTGGTAAATTTTCTGTTTCATACTTGGTATAGAATGTATCTTTTGAGGAAAAAGGCAGTCTTAGTCTTCATGCTCTTCTCTGCTTCAGTTAGTTACTTCTCAGTCAAACTTACGCGGTGGTGGCTATACCAAAAAATACACGATTGGTAACAGTGCGGCTTAACATTTTCACAGAGAGTGTGAGAACAAGAAACAAACAGAAACAGGCCATAAAATACCTAACCTCCTCATAGTCAACCACCTCCCGACTTGACCAATTGCTCTGCTTTACATTCAGTGGCTAGCTCTTTCTTTCTCTCTGCCCCCCTCGCCTTCTCTTTCGTTTTTCTTTTCTTTTTTTTTTTTCTTTTCCACTTTTTTTCTCTTTTCTAGTGGTTTGGATCATCAATGGGTAAAGCCAAGAAGGGCCGCCCTCACAAAGGCTCCGGTGTTGCTGCGGGGGCAGCAGTCCATCTGCCCAAAAAGCACCGGAAAATGCACATGTTTTCTCGACTATCCACCACCACCACGACTCTCGGTCCCCCCGCCGCCATTAAGCATGAAGGGAAGGATTCGAAGACTAAAACAGGAGTGGTCACCTCGCAACCCTCAAAACAGCATCGGCGACCCATCGTGCCCTTTGGAAAGCAAGATCGCATATTGTTGGTCGGGGAAGGTGACTTTTCCTTTGCCCGCTCCCTGATCCGTCAGTATCGCTGCAAGAATGTCCTGGCTACTTGCTATGACTCCAAGGAGACTCTTCAGCGCAAATACCCCCAGGTGGAGCTCACCATCCGTGACATTCTGGCGACATTCAGCAGCCCAGAAAGCTCAAAAGCAAGCTCAAGTGAAGACAAGAACCCATCGCTAGGTCCAAAACGTCAGCTTCCCAAGGTCCTGTTCTCCGTCGATGCTCGGAAACTGGGTCTCCCTGCGGGTGGCGGCAAGGACGTTCGCAACGGCTGGTCTAGTCGAGAGCGGCGGCGTCCGGCATGGCAACAAGCGAGAAATGTAGCTCTCGCTTCCGCCCCGGATGGTGGGCAATGGGATATCATCTCCTTCAATTTTCCCCATGTTGGCGGTCTCTCCACCGATGTAAATCGACAGGTTCGTGCCAACCAAGAACTCTTGGTAGCTTTCTTCAAGGCCTGCATCCCATTATTATCGCTCAGTCAAGGGCCGGTGGAGGACGATGAAAGTTATGAGTGGGAGGACTATGAAGGTTCAGATTTGGAGACCAGCCAGGATGATGACGACGATGTCGCCGAAATCGATAAGCCATTACGTTCAATAACGGCCGCCGGCCAGGCTGAAGGCCAGCATACGTCTGGTCCGGGTCGAATTCTGGTGACCATATTCGAGGGGGAACCCTATACCCTTTGGAACATCAAGGATCTTGCGCGGCATGCTGGCCTGCGAGTGGTCACGAGTTTCAAGTTCCCGTGGGCTTGCTATCAAGACTATTCGCATGCACGGACACTGGGCGAGATCGAGGGAAAATGTGGAGGCAGAGGCGGATGGCGAGGTGAGGATAGGGATGCAAGAACATATGTATTCGAGCTTAGGCGAGATGACCAACCAGTGCCTGGGAAGAATGCACTATCAACCAAAGCTAATCATGGCACGAGGAAGAAACGAACGAGAGAAGCTTCTGATAGTGACAGTGATTAAGAACACAACTAAATCCCATTACTAAACCTAGATATGTATATGAATAAATTAAGTCGAGAAGACCACACGGAAATGTCAGGAAGAGCTTCGATCATCTGAAGAACCCGGCATCGAGCATCGATATCTTCACATAATGTATACTTTCTTCATTTCACTTTTATCATAAATTTCGCCGGTGGTTGGGTCTTTGACCTTTCCGGAGTCAACACAACCGACATTCTTGCTCAACTCTATCAGCCGCTGCTGGCCATAAATTCTGCCGTTGGGTAGAACTATCGGATCGCTTTCGACGTAGCTCTTCGTATGGTGAGCATAAGGCATATTGCGGGCAAGTTCGTTGAGCTCGGTAGAGCAAATGGGGCAGACGGATGTTGTGGTAGAGAGAGAATTGGAACTTGAAGAGGTGTAGGCTGAGTGACACGAGGGCGTCTTTAAAGCTGATAACCCTGCTGATAGTGCGATATGAAGCAGAGGGCGGGATGATAGTGACAATAGCTCATGGTGAGTGCGAATGAATAGCTCGGAAAGACGGTTCCATCTCTCAAGAGAGTATAAAGACTTCGCGTTTGTTAGCTGAGCGACCGTGTTTCGCTGATAACGAGCTCTTTCTTTACCTTGTAAGGTTCAGCTTTGGTATCTTGTGGGAAAGCAAGTAGTCCTGCGGCCCTGTGTATGTCGGCGGATTGCGTCTCTATATACGGGGCGAGATACTTCTTAGCATGCATCATTGCGTCAACATATTTTTTCCTGTCCCCACTCCTGATCAATTCAATGTATTGTTGCAATCGGAGTTCAAATTCAAGATTGTACTGTGATTTGATGTTAACCCTTCGAGCCATACGAGCGCAAGAGTGAAACCGAAACATTTCCACAAACCTGGCTCTTCTTCAATGCCGCCTTGTTTTCACCACACCATTGGAGAGCATCCTTTGTCTCACCATGACGCAGGCTATCAGCAATACGTTGACACTGCACAAACACGTTAAGGTCCACTAGACCCTCAATTCCCTTCTCATGAGCTAGCTGACGTGCACTTTCCAAATATCCAGAGCGCAGCATATGATCGACAATGAGCCTATTCAACCTGACTCGTGACCACTGGTCGTACTTGACGTCTGCCAAACTCGGAATTTGCTGAAGACTTTCAAGGTGCTGGATGCGTTTCCTGGACTGTTCATGGATGCTTTTCTCTTCTTGGTGCAGATTCTCCATTTTACGCTTCATTCCTTGCATCCGGGATATCATAGCATCGAGGGCAGCGATGGCTTGGTCGGGCGCTCGGGAATTCGACATGGAGGCATTAGCAGCCTCTTTGAGTCCGGGAAGGACAAGTTCCCTCTCCCGTTCAACGAGCCGTTGAAAAGACTTGAAGTTTCGACGTGCAAGTTCATGGGGAAGACGAAGGAGCGATTGATCCTGTGACATAGTAAAAGTGTTAAATCTAAGACGGCGCGGGCGGGTTGTAGACGACTGTCAGGTACCAAGAGCAAATGATTCTCCGCATTGAGTCGGGTTGAGGTAAGCTCCGCCGCCATGACGTCGCAGAGGTCGCACCAGAGACAGAGGAAGTTTTTGCTACTTCAGACTCGTGTGATAGAACCTGGCTAGTTTTTGGTCCCCGAGAAGAAGAAGTAGAAGGGGAGAGGAGGAGGAGGAGGAGGAAGAGGAGGAGGAGTAGAAAATCAAAGGGGGTCGAAGACAATAGGAGTGAGTGGTAGAGAAAGTCCTCAAAGAGGGGTGGCCGTGGGGAAAGGCGGAGAGGTGACACCGCCCAAGTCACGATACCCTTACGCAAAACAAAGTCGGCATAACTAAGATGAAGTTCTTCAATGAAATGCTATAACTGAAAGAAAATCCCAGGACATATAACTAAGACAAATAAACATGTATTTGATGATTGGTAACCTTTTCAAACCCAGGACTCCGATACAAAGAAACAAGTATGTTACAGGATTCCTGCCCAGGCGAGGCTCCGAACAGAAGGGAATTCTCATCCGGAACACTTTTGCTCCCAAGTCAGGCCCATGTAAGTCCCGGAGGTTACTAGTCACTGTCATCACTCTCTTCCTTCGACTTGGACTTTCTCCGCTCCTTCTTCTCCTTCTTCTCCTTCTTCTTGCGCTTACGTTCGGCGCGTTCCTCAGCAGTCTCACCCTCATGCCGTTTGCGCTTCTTCTCTTCGTCATTGTCTTCATCAACCTCCATCTTTGTCTGAGGCGATGATGGCTCTTCGGTAGGAGCCGCATTCTCATTTGTGGCGGACTCGATAGCAGGCTGAGTGGCGGTTTCTTCGGGGGCACTATAGTCTTTATAGTCGCTCTTCCACTTGGCGGGGGTAGCCTCGTTGGTACGACCGTATTTCTACATGCCAAGTCAGAACAGTCAAGAGATTAGTGAACTGGGGCTCGTAGACTTACGTCCAGCTTTCCAGCTGACTTGAGCTTCTTCTTTTCCAGAGCCACAGGTCCCAGACCCCATCTGCGAGGGTAAAGGTCCCGCTCCATGATGCACCGCTTGACCTTGGCCACGACACCGTGGTCGCAAGTAGACAACTCAACAGTAGACATCTGAGCAATACCGATAGCGATAGCCTCACCCTTGGTGGTCATGAGTACCACCTCTTCGTTGACGTCGATACCGGCCTCTTTGCGGACATTAGCCAATACTTCACTCGTAATTGCGTTAGGCTCCACTTACCAAAGCGAAGGAGACCAGGAATCATGAGCTTGGCGCCATAGCAGACAGCATTGACGGCACTGTCTTTGACAACGATACGCTTGTATGTCGTGAGAAGAGTCTCTAGAGGTCTGATAACCCTGCGCAGATAAGACTCATCGCGCTGGTTGTCATACATCCACTGCGCGTCCAAGACATCGTGCAAAGTCACCATACCGCTGTTCTCATCCATGGCACCACTGCGCACACGTCGTAGCTCCTGCATGTGTGCCCCGACTCCAAGAAGGAGACCGAGGTGGACACAAAGGGTCCGGATGTATGTTCCAGCCTCACAGCTGACCCAAAAGACACCGAGGTGTCTATCATTGTCGAACTCATAAAGCTTGCTCTCATGGATTGTTCGAATGCGGAGTTGACGCTTGACAGCAGAGATCAAAGGCGGGCGCTGGAAAAGTGCGCCAGTCAACGTCTCGAGTGCCCTCTTGAACTGGGCCTCGCCGCCAGGGATTTTATCGTGAAGGCGAATTACACAGACATATTCCTTTCCTGCACCTTGCTGAGACTTAACCAAGCGAGTGGCACGGTCAATACAGACGATCAGGCAACCGGTGACCTTAGGATCGAGAGTTCCGCTGTGGCCAGTTTTCTCCGCTCTTTGTAATAAGAAGTCTTAGTATCTTGGAATCGGCTAGCCATGCAAAGCGAGTAGTAATACCTTAAGATCCGCTTCATCCAAGCAACAACCTCGTGACTAGAAGGATTGGAAGGCTTGTCGAGGTTGATGACACCGGAATTGATGTACGACTTTAGGTCACGCTTGAGAGGAGAGCAGCCCGCGGGGATCGGGGTGAAGTGACCGGTTCTGACAAGAACTGACATGACAAAATCAGCACGGGCTACATAGGACTGGATATTCACAAGATCGAAGTGAACGTACGCTTGTCATAATTCTTCAGTAGAAGCGGCCACTCCGAGGTATCGATGTTGGAGGCACTAGCCTCTGGCTTAATCGTGTAGTCCATCTCGTCCTTAGCCACTGTAACCGCCATTGTGAACAGTCTGGCCTGAAGAGTATTGAGATAGCTAAGTAAGTGCGCGCGTTGAGAAGATGGCGCAGGAAAAATTGCACTTCCCGAGCTAAGGTTTTGCTCTGGCACTAGCGAGGAAGAAAGTCTGGGAAATTTTAGAAGTGCGGCAAAAGCTGGAGCGACCAATACCTTTAGCGCAGAAATTTCGCCCTCCGGCTCGATGTCCCGTGACCTAGACTTTCCTTCATGATATAATATGAAGAGGACCGTAGATGGAGTTTCTTTGATATTGAAAATTAATATTAACCTTGATACGTTTAGAGGATAATTTTATCACTGTACAGTACGCTCCCTACTGCTAATCCTCATTTGTCGCTTGGCCGCCAAACCTGCTTGACGAGTGCGTTTTTCTCTCTTTAGGACTCGCAGCCGCAGTATCTGCGAACTTTGTGAACGGCGGCTTTTATTTGAGGCTGCTCTTAACTCCTGCTGCTAGCATACCCTTGCTACATATTCCCTTCTGTGCTCCTCCTTCCACCAACGTAGATATGACCTCGTCTCAGTTACCTCCAAGTCGTCTGCCCGGACCTCTTCGATTCCATGGCCCCTGGAACGCGGAAGTCCAGCTTCCAGAAGCGGCGGCTTGGGTTTGATCCGCTGACCGAAAGGCAGTACCATAGGTACGGTTATCGCCACGGGGCCTGAGATCGGAAAAGAATCCTCTGATGAATGCCGGTGTGACAAGGTAATTTTGTCCACCTCCGAATGCCGGATAGATACGCGTAAGGAAATCATACAGATGCGCAGCGACTATGCCCATACCATCGCTTAGAACGGCTGGCCATCCAATAGTGACCAAGGTGAATGCAAGCATCGCCCAAGGCAGAAATTCCACAGGTATCTGGACCACAAAGAATGTCGCCTTTCTACCACGATTTTCCTGGGAAAAGGTATAGACGAAGGCCATGATCAGAGCTAGAAGTATGATCAGTAGATACACGCATGCTCGGTGCTACAACGGGCTCACCAGAGGTAAAAGTTACACTTCCCAACAAACAGCCTGCAGTGAGCTAGGGCTTGTTAGTACAGGAGGATAATTGGGGAGGCTACATGAAGCGGAACGAGGGAATGAAATCTGGTAGACAAAAATTGAATAAGGTATATTGCGGAATGTAGGGCACCATAACCACCAGCGTAAACCATTGCATCACGCTAGCTATCTCACTGGTCGTCCCACTATACCTGCAACAAATATAGCCCTGAAAGGATCGATGAGGTAGGCACTATACGGATGCAGGAGTGATCTTCCTC